TACACTTTTATAACACTATATCAACTATAGTTCTAGTTATTGATAATATGTCCCAGTATGAGTAATGATATTATGTACATATATATAGACAACTCTCTCTCTCTCTCCATCGTCATCCCGAGGGTTCAAATAACTATATATAATATATAACTATTTGGTTGCTGGATGTTAACCCATCCCATAAACAATGCTATTCATCTCAACCAATGGTCCCAAAGGGGAAACACACACACATAAATATATACGACACTCCCAACCAGTTTGGATTGTGGTAGCTATCCCAAAATAGCCGCAATTCTCAGATTGGAGAACCCGTAAAATGTATCAAGCTACATTAGAGTCATCCTGGAAGAGGTAGAATATGACATGTTGAAACAATCCTCACCATTTGTAAATACCATATTCTATCTACTTCAGGATGATACATACCAAGCTGCCACGGTGTTGAACATGGTCAATCACCTTCAAAGAGGAATATGGTTCATTCCCAAGCCAGGCTTTGCGGCCTGCTTGGTAGAGCAGGCAGCAAACGGTGAGCCACCTGAGCAACAAAGGGCCGTGGATGAATCCAACTTGGATGGGTTTGATACTAACGGCTCCATTTTGGCACCCATATCACTACTGCAACAAAGATGGGCAACCTATGGACCAAATTTGTCATTGCAAAACATCATAGGGCCACAGGGCTCCTTCGAACATACCTGGTAACGAATTAGTGAACGTATCAACACAATTCACATCTTTGGGTAAAACACCCTAATTTGACATTAAAAATCCAAATGAACAAATACCTCACAATGCACAGTTCCATGGCTATTTGGAAGGTCTAAGTGATCTTTGTGCACCCCAAGAATCGGCGTGCAGTGGGCCCCCGGCCTCCCTCAAGCGCGGCTCACAATGCTTCGCCACATTTAAGGCGCTATTGCCATCGCGGCCCAGAACTTGAAAGGCCAGGGCCTTGGTAGATTTGGTAGTGACCTTCTGGGAGATCAAATAGCTGGGATGTTCTACTCAGCAATAAATGGTTTCTGGTTGGTTAATGATGGTCAATTATGGTTAATATGTGGTTATTATATGGTTAATGATGATTAATAATAATCTGGTTGGTGGTTTTAACCATCTGGAAAAATATGAGTGCGTCAATGGGAAAGGATTCTCCCGTATATTATAAAACAAAAACATGTTTGAAACCACCAACCAGATTTCTATATTTAATATGTGGCTGTGTCTGGGCCAGAGGTTTTGCTCCATAAATCCATTGGATTTGAGGGTAAAACTTCCCATCCTTTGGGTGGTTACTTAACTTTGAGATGACTGCCCTGGTTGCTCAACAAGTCTGGTAGATAACACATGTCGACTTGTAGCTGCCTCCTTTGTGCGCACCACTGGTAACAAAAAAAGACTAAACATCATTAACCATCACTAAACATCAAACATCAGTTTGAATATCATTATAACAAACATAATGCATGCCAGTATTAAAAAATGTAAATATTATTATGATTAACTATGAAATAGGTAAATATTATTATGTTTAGTGATGGTTAATGATATTGTAAATATTATGTATTCTAAATATCATTAACCAACACTAAACTACCCACACACCAAGGCTTTTCCGGTCGTAGTCATCCTCAGAACCTGGCCTGAAAGAGGTGTGTGGAGGCCTGGTTCGACACCCGAGAAGCCTTGCTCGAGTCGTCGAGGCTCAATTGGATAACATTGCTTCCCATCACGGAGATTTGACTGGATGTTAATATATCTCAATGGATTGATTGTAAATGATTTTAATGGATAAAAAATATCTGGATTTTGCTGCATTTCTATCCACTGAACATATGCTTAATGGAATCGGTTTGAAGGAAGGTTACAGGAACCCCATAATATATTGCAGTATCATAGATTCACTAGGAAGAACCTCATGTTTCCTGCGCATGTTTCCTTCATCCATTAAAGACCTCAAGAAATGCAAGAATTGACAGGACTCCAAGCTACATGCGCTGAACTACCACTTCTTGATATAAAACAACTTCATGTTATATACACATATACAAATGCATAAACGCACATATATATATATATATATATGTGTGTGTATATATATATATATATTACGTGTATATATATAATTATACGTAATACACGTATATTTTTCATTTTAAAACTGTTCAAATAAATAATCATACATGTTTTGTATGCATACCAACCAACTGGGTAATTCAGTGGGATAGCTCTTGGGCCCTTCTCCCCCCTTGAATCTGAATTGCACCGATCGGCCTGCGACAACTTCTCGGCCGCTTTCTCAACATCGCCTTGCCTTGCATCGAAAGGAATACTGAAGCTGGGTGCGGCCCATGTGAAATGTTGCCACAAAAACGCCCAAAAAATGCTCAAACAATGCCTAAAATAGATTGACTCAAGGTTCTTGACAGAAATGTTCACTTGGAGATGGCCAGAAAAGTAGCATTAGATGCACAGGATGTACTGAACCCTGGCCGTTTGGGATGGACAATTTCAAAAGTACCCACACCATGGATATGGTTTTGAATCATTTGCCCTCAGGCTTGGATGTCCTCACCATGACCAAAAGTTGGTGGGCACCACTGCTGAGAAGCAAACAGAAGTAGTCCTTAGCGGGGCTTGTCATGGTAGAATCACTAGTTGCTCTCCCATAAAAAGGGGATTTCAACCGATTGTGCCAAACATTTGGATGCATCTTGTGGGAACCTGCTATTTTAATCCCACAATATTTGGAAACCACAATTTTAACCCAAACCTTTGGATGGATCTGTTCTTTATGAGTAACAAGTGTCACTGGGGATTCTCAGGGCCAAGTTTGGACACCAACAGCTGACCAAGTTTGAGCCCAGGTAGTAAGTGGTTCACAGCCCTGGCTAGGGTTGTCCCGAATTCGTGAGGTTATTATCCCCTTTTACATCTGGCTTATCACTTCTAACATCTGGCTTATCACCCTTAAAAAAAGATGCGGTGCTCTGATCATACTGCTCACCAACTGGCATAGAGCTTCAAGAGCAGCACTATTTTTGTTGACTTAATTCCCGTATTGATGTTGGTTCATACCCCTCATAGCTGGATTCTTGTTTACCCCATTGTTTCCCAGCAAGTGAAGTTGCAGTATGGCACAGGAAGACCCCAAGAGACCCCAAGAGTGAACTCTCACTAGCTTTCAAATACTGTACAATCCCCTGATTATATCTGCTTATCAGATTATTAAATATCTCAGTACTGGACTGGATCCGAAAATTAACAGAATCCAATATGCTTCACGGGGATTTGGATTGGGGGTGCCGGGGGGTATTCATCATCCTTTGAGACTACCATCGGTCTGCCACCCAGCATCCATAGCCGAGCCAAGTCCGAACTTCTGCTTCCGCCGCTGGATTTGGGCTCTCAATCGCCTGGACGTTGAGGACGGCGCCCCCGGATTCCACTCGCCATGGGAGATAAATTCTTCACATAGCTCAGCTTCGTCCACCAAGCACCATCACTCAAGTCTAAAGATTCTAAAGATCCACGCTTTCCTTTTTCCGGATATTTTAAACTGCCGCTTTGCTGGACGTTCATTCCCCCCTTTTATGGAACATCAATGAAGATCCTGACCCATCCCCACCAGCGACCCCCAACGGCCCTACGCCTTCTCGGAGCGACGTAAGCGTTCCCCAGCGCGTTGCAAGCTACTTTGCCTTAGCATTGTGATCATTCAATCCACTCTGATGGCGACCATGGAGTGTAATTTATCTCAATTGAATTTGTCCACTGCCACTTCCTTTCACAAAAAAATGCTTAGCCATAGTTGCCTAATAGCATAGTTGCTACGAGGTTTCTATGTAAGTCACTTTTTTGATGCGCTCACTCTCTGCCGAGCAGCGCTTCGTGGACATCGTCCAAGTGCAGCTGGGCTTGCGCCAACCTGCATGGCCAAAGGTAGTTGCTGTCCATTTTCTCCAACTCCTGCAGCTCAAAACCCTGGTGTCATTTGGTGTAGCATCAAAATAGTTTGCAAATTTGGGTTTCATCCCTGCAAACGTGGTAGAACGAAGGGCTTTGATCCGTCCCATTCGTGAAGAAACATGATCACTGACTGAATCATGTCAAATGTAATCAATATGGATAACGGCGGTATGCAAAGCAGGAGGCCTACTTGCACATAAATGTCCTCATGATTCCTCATGCGTGTTTCTTGAAATATCCTAAATCATGCACAGTTGTCACAGTACCTTGGTGAAGGCGTGTGGAAAGACAAATCATGAGGGGCATAGTTGCGAGCATCGGCTATAAAACTTCCCACCAACACTTACTATATAATATGATCATTTCATGACATGTCGTGCAATTTTTTTCCCTAGATCAATGAACTTTGGGGTCAAACATTTCAAACAAACGCCGCAACTGTAGAAAAAAAGTCTGCACAGCACCAACTTTCTCTGCAGCCTGTCTTGTTCCCTGTCTTTGCTGAGGGATGTCTGCAAACATCGGGAAGGACGCTGGGGGAAAAACAATTATGCCCACTTGAACCTCCTGAACTATTATTGAATCATGACATCTAAGGAAAGAGTTTGGTGATGATGTTGGATGAAACCCTCACATTTGATCGTCCTCCATTTACTGAGTCTTACTGTGCACGGCTGCATCAGGCTATATATCAGCCTTCTGTGGGATAACGCACCACATAGATTTCTTCAGGCCCTCTACTGGAGCCCAAGGTTGTTGGCTGCCCCTGTCTGGGGCCAGGCTATACAGAAAAGGACTGGGACCTGCACCAACTTTCCAGCAAATCGGTGCCTGCAGGGTGGGACCACGGCCTTGCTCGCGCAGAGTGTTTCCTGGACGATAGTTCAGTGGGCCCTCCCTACCTGTACAGAGACGCCAGTGGGGAGTGGGGGGGCATAGGGACCGGGTCTCTACAAGTGATCCGAGCGGATCTACGTTACATGCAACCTCGAATTCATTTTGGGGACGAAGGACCCCACTCATGCTGTTCACTTCCATGATTCAATCTCTGCCTCGGATGGACAAATTGGATCTCAAATCGGGGCACCCGCCGGACTTCTGATTGCAAAGACCCAGATAGTTGAGAAATTGATAAGCCATTCAAATCCAAAGGACTAATTTCTTCCGCAAACATGCAAACATCAGCAACAAATCAACCAACGTGTCGCCCCCCAAAAAAATTGGACCGTTTAACTCCAACAATAAAAATCCACCCAATCCATGGGTCTCTCCAAGTGTCTCCAAGTGTCATCATTTCATCCAGCTATTCCCAGCCCCCCATGACGACCCGCCAAGGGACTGCCCTCTTCGCGAAGGGATAGTAGCAGCACCTCCCAGGCTCTGTAGCGCCACAGCCGTAGCTTTGGAGGCGCTTCACCTGGGAATATGTTGTTTTTTTTGGATAGAACATATAAAACATCACTTATTGGATTGTTTTGAGAGAAAAATTGCAGGAAACTAGGTTTTTGTTTTCCGATAAAAGATAGGCTATAGGGGTTTCCTGTACATGTTCCCTTACACCAATCCATTGAATCACAGAACTAAATAATATAACATCATTAGAAAAAAAAATATGAATTCTACGCAAAACCATTTTGATGTCTACAGTATTGATCCAAATCCACCAAACACATCCAAATGCAGAGTTTTGTAGCAGGTGTTCTGTCCTTTTAGCACCTATTAACAGCCCTGACCATTCTTGAATTTACCGCAACATTGAAATCCAACTAAAATCCATCAAATTCGATAGAATGTCCACAGGTGTAGTATTGGTTTCCATCAGGAATATGTTTTTCCATGTTTTAAGCACTACATCAGAGTTCATCAACTTCAAATCAAGTTCCAATTAAAACTGCAAACGCGCACACAAACACACACGGGAAAAACATGTTCCATTGTTTTCATTTGTGTGTTTTTTTTTTGCCAGGCCAGTGGTGATTCCATTATTAACATTGTTTAACCACACAGCATTCCACTACCAACATTAGAAACATGAACATGTTTTGTTTCCATTATTTTATTTTTCTCTGCCACGGTTTCTTCTATCATTATTTCCATTATTCTATAAGGTTATCACAATAATTATGGAATAAGAATATTATATAACAAAAATCATCAAGAATCAACATCAATAATATTCTAGATGGTATATATATATATATATATCCAAGTAGCTAATGATGTATACCTAATGATAATACTAACTACATCTAACTACCATTAGTATTATCATTAGGTGCATCATTATTCCATTATTCCTTCCATTGTCCAAGTCGCATCTGCAGCTTGGATCGCCTTGACGTTGAGCTCCGGCAGCTCTTGCCCCGTCTGGGCATCGTAAACGTTTTTCCCCACGATGCGATACCTAGGAAGAAGCACACCACTGGAAAAAGGTGGGAAAACATGTGCTTAATTGGACTTGATGGGGGTTCAGAGTGATTTAGATAATGGAATTTAATATGATTTGCTGGGGATTTTGGTATGTATGTGTATATATATATACATATGCATTCTGTATAGTCCATTTTACCATGCGGCAATCGTTTACATAGCCATGGGGAACCACCATTTTCAATGTTCTGAAAATCATCTACTGTACAAACGGGACATATTCCACAGCCGTTAGATTGCCAAAGGGTATTTTTAGGATGATGGAATGACAAATGGTAGTTATGATATCATTAGGAACCTATCTGCTAGTCATAATATGATCATGGACGATAGGTCTATACATACTGTGTATACTGTGTATATATCTATAAACTTATATATGCGCATATGCGTGTGCGTGTGTTTAAAACCATTGAGCACATATGAGATTCATCATGATCTATGTTTAGGCAATGTGAGAATCATGATCTTTTATAAATACTGTAATTAAATGGACATATATATGAAATCTATGGCACGAATATATCACAAACGGCAAACCCGTTTCAAGCCCGAATTGGAGTCTAGCCGAGATGAGGTCAGCAACAATGTAAGGAAAGCAACGTACTGGGAACTTTCCATAGCAAAACTCGAGTTCAATGAACAAATTAAGATGCGTTGCTATAAGAAATCAACTAAATTATCTACCTATACATACATATATATATATATATATGTATATTTATATATGTATATAAAGGACTGCTTGTGTTGGACCTTGCCGCCTAGTCAGAGCTGTGGTTGCGCTGGTTATGATGAACATGGTGAATATATATATATTAATAATATTGATGAATATTGATGAATATGTATGAATATGATGATGGTCATCATGATGTCAGATTCTGTTCGCACTTCCAGCTAGCCAAATCTATTTTCAGAAACAAGGTTCCAAAATAAAAAAACACATGCGCTTGGATACAGGACTTGCCTCATAGATCCTGATAGCCCAGCACTCTCCGGCAATCAAACATGGCAACGGAGAATACCCTTTGGCAATCGAACAAGGGTCCATAAGTGGATGCACATGGATTTACATGGTGGGCTGTCTAGAGAGCCAATCTCAGTGTCGGCTTACCACAAATATGCTACCGTCAAGATACATGAAATCCGCCTCACGCCAGGGGCTGCAAGACTCTTGAATAGTGTTGACCTGCGCACACATCTGACTCCAGTAAGAGTCATAATCCACACCAACAACTGCCGCCATCTGAATGATCTCCTCAATGTCGGTATTCTCATGCACATCCTTGCTGTCTGGTATGAGATGGTACGAAGGGGGAGATGATTGTGTCTTGTTGCAAAGGCGTCTGCGTGGCATAGCTATTGGTTTGCAATGGGTTTCTCATGATTTCCTGATATCTTACCGTTTCTTGCCATTTCTTACCATTTCTTGCCCTTTCTTGTTGTATAACATTGTACAACTATATATATATAACCATTAATTGATGTGCTTTTGGCAAGCATTATCTTGTGGCTTGGGACATTGTGCAATATACCGAGCCAAGCATCAAGTCTCACCTTGTCCCCTGCTGCCAGACTATCCAGCAAGAACTGCACCGGGAAGAAGCGCTTGTACTGCAGGTGTAATCCATCCTTGAAGACAGCGTACTGAAAGGGAAGCATCGGTCCGTGCACGTATTGCAAATGGAGCCTCAGCGGGACCAATCCACCACCATGTTGGGAATATGGTCTAACCGCCCATGGCCCCAAATCCTCCAAACGCTTTTTGCTTCAAAAGGAAAATGACAATCATGATGCATTTGACCAGCAACGATGTGTAATTGTAGCATATTGATGCATAGTTTATTATAAGATATTAAAAGTATATAGCATTATATATATATATAATATGATATATGATATATAATATATAATATATAATATATAATATATAATATATATAATATAATATATATATATAATATATATATTATAATATATATATAATATATATATAATATAATATATATAATATATATAATATATAAATATAAATAATATATAAATATAAATAATATATATAATATATATAATTAATATAAATAATTATAATAGTGTATATAGCTATAGGCTTTATATAATCAAAATGTCACGGCAGTGCCATCAGGATCTCCACCATGGCCTAGCCGCTGCTGCTGCGATGGTGGGAAGTTCATTCCAGCCGTGCCCATCGATCGCAAGGCCTCGCGGCCGGGGGCAGCCTGCAGGTAGGCAGCCCGAAACCTGGTGCCAAAAGTCGATCTTCCAAGGATTTTGAAGGGTTGGAAAAAGATGGAAAAAATGGAAAACATATATATATATATATTTAGTAATATATATATAGTACAATGATATATAATGACTATCTCAGACTATCTCTCTCTCCAGCGCCATCTCTCAAGTTCATAGTTACATGATGTTACATGTAGTTACTATGTAACTATTACACGTAAGGGAAGCATACGCGTGAACGAGGCCAAATCAGGCAAAATCATTTGTCCACTTTGAAGGGACCAGTCTTGATGGCCTCTACTGGGAATTTGGATGACATGTTGTTCTTCATGTCACGTTCTCATCACTGCTGCGAGTGCCACTCATGATTGGGGGATGCTTGGGGCATGCTGCACCCCCTTGTTGGAAAAACCCTCTCATATTTGCTTATAAGAACCCAACTAGACAGGTTGGCCCCACCACGGTTGGCCCCTTCCTTCCAAGAGTTGGTTTCTGCCAAGTCTCTTCTCATCGGACCAATGCTGTTCCAGACAGACCGTGTCCACCTGTTCCAACATGGCATGTACGATCTTTCGTCCACCTGAGTGAGATGCAGCGTGGTGAAACAATGTGAAACATGGTGAATCTGTTTCGCTAAACCTGAATGAAGTCTACAACAATCCGGGGATAAGATATATCCTTAAAAGATCTTAAAGGCCTAAACCATCTTAAAACAACAATTGATGACGATTGTTTGGGATAAGTTTGGGTACAGGAATCATGCTTCAAGGCCGAACGACGAAGAGGGTCTTTAAAAAGGTAGCGCAAATCTGGAATGTAGACCTTCGTTGGAATGACATTCAGGTGGCACACGGAGACACAGAGGGGATCGTCAAAGACCAGAAACTCCTGCAGCGACATCACTTGGTTGCTGAGACACCCCATAGCGGCTATAGCGGAAGTGGAAGCGGAGGATCTATTCTGGGGTGGAATGTGAGGGAAGGAATCAGTGTCTTAAAGCACCAACCAGAAATTGCCATCACTTAGCAGGTCTTGAGGCCATGCACCCTCCTACATGAATGGTCCATTAACATCAATTTTCACCGACAAAAATCAAATGAATCAAATTTGCAACTTCATCATATATGATATGCATGCGAAATCATGCGAATTCTATACATTGAACGCAGCCCCATTCTCGGCAAACACCAGCAAAAACACAGATTCTGACGGACAAAAAATATATGAAACATATCATCTTTGTCAAGGCCTCTCCCTGCCTGCATCTGTCGAGCCTCTTGATGTACAGCAAAAAAATCGCAAATCATCAGTAGGTTGGAAACACCCCTTGCGAAAAACGTTGGTAAACCACGTTCCACACAAGCCTTTACCTTTCACGTTGGGGATTCTCCTTGGTACAAGCACGCATGGAGATGGTGAGAGGAAAGCGACCCTTTTGGATTCCAAAGACGAAGGCCATGAGGACGTTGTCGGTGGCAGCAAGGGTATCCTCCTCAGGCGATAGAGAAAGCCACAAGGCTGGGACCAATGGGCCTCTCCGTGGATTTCTGATGATTTCTGCACTTCACATCGTAGAAAGGTTGTACCCAGTATCCCCAACTAGCTCCAAGTTCCAACATCGAAACTTATACCAGCTCAAAAAAAGACCTTGTCATGCAAATGCGACTGGGCAAACTAATGCACATGATATCTTTCAACCACAAACTCTGGAAGCATCTGCAAGCCCAGGGTCAGTCAGGTGAGTGCAACAATTGTTGCATTGGTGCATGGTGTGCGCGCAAGCTTTCCTGCAGCTTCCATGATCGGAAGGCTCACCATATGCCGAGGTATCAATGTCCGGCGCCAAGCATTGCGAAATTTGTCATGTATTTCCTACAGATCATGTGTTTGTAAAGGACCTTGAGAAGGGAATAAATGTAATAAATCTTAGGGAACTGATGGTGTTCGTACAGTAGCTCTTGTTGGTTCACCCCTTTATATAGATCCTCTTAGATCCTCTTAGACTCTTAGCCCTCAATGACTTCCAGGACTTGCACCTCGACCTCGATGCTGACGAAGGGGCTGGCAATTTGGGCAAAGCTTCACCTTGTTCAGCAGCTGCTGCAAGACCTGGGTGTCTTCGGCATGCACCTCGGTGACCGGTCGCCCGCAGTCCACCGGAGTCTTCATGCTCACTTGATCGAGGCCAACAGTAGCATATGGTAGCATTCTCTTCTTCCCCCCCTCCTGGTGATCAGCATCCATAGCCTCATCACAATCATCATACCTGCAAATTTGGCAATCCTTGATGCCAAACATACGAAACCAACGAATCTGCCAATGAGTCGCTCAAAGTGGCTGATTCCACCCAAGCGGGAAAAACTTGGGCCAGGGCACTGCTCGAAACTCCTCCAAAGAGTTCCAAAGAGCTTCTGCTGAGATGTCCAAGTTGGGAAGAGGCACCTCCGCGAGGATCACTGAAGTGGCTGGCCATGCGTTGGTTAAAGTCCCGACAAAGCCCGAGAGCTAAACCCTGGCAATGTAGCTCATGGTAAATGAGTAACTATCATAGTTGGTATCCAATCTTGCCATTTTGGGGCTAACCAAGTGGATCAGTTGGGAATGTAGTAACCATATGCAACCATGGCTTCCTGACGTTGACTGTTGACCCATCCCCAAGTGGATTGCAACGCCGTTCCAAAGCTCAATGAAACACTGCCATTCCAACTGCCCGGGAACAAATTCAGCCATGAAAATTGTAAAAAAAACGTGTCACTTAAAATTGAAGAAATATACTGAGAATTAATGAAATATATAGGTCGACTAAATTCGACTAACCACGCTCGTGAGCAATCTCGATATCTTAAATGGCAAAACCCCCGTAGTTGTAATCTCCTCTCCCTATGGCTAAAGCTCCCCCGGGCCCCCAATGAATAAGACTAGGATTGGATTGCCACTTTCGGTTTTTTTTGGTTGCTCACAATTGCGTTCTTAATTGTGGTAATTGAAAATCAATGAGAACAGGATGGTGAAATAATGGTTTGTACCCCCCATTAATAAACATAGAACGAGACCCGTAAGTTTATTCTTAGGGTCCCATCAACTTTGAAATCATATTTTTTTTATATAAAGGTTGTTATTCTTTGGAAATGTTTTAAAGGGATTTTAAAAAGAATTCGTTTTTTAATTTGTTTATTAAGGTTTTGGTTTTATTATTAGGGCACCCTAATACTAAATACCCCCTAATAATAAAACTAGACGACGGTTGGCCCGAGAGCGAAAAAGACGTTTTTCAAGCTGCTCTGAGTATGGTAGTCGTAAAAAATAGTCGGTGAATGGTTGGTGAATTGTATATGAGCTATGGAGGGATAAGTTGTGAAAAGTCAGATTGATCAAGAAGAGGATACATGGTATACATGTGACAACCCATGCACATGCACTGTGCTGCTTGGTAAAGGGCATCATATGACACGTGACTTGCAACCACAGAGAGACATAGATAGAGAGACGGAGTTTGCATCCTATCCTTCCTATTATTTTTAACACGCACAGAACCTTTTTACACACAGACGCTTTTGCACAGAAGCTGTTACACACAGACGCATTTACACACAGACGCTTTTACACACAGAAGCGTTTACACACAGACGCTTTTACACACAGAAGCTTTTACACACAGAAGGTTTCTCACACAGACACTAGACATTTTTACACACATAGGCTTTTACACACAGACGCCTTTACACACAGACACTAGGCACTTTTACACAGAGAAGGCTTTTACACACAGGCGCCTTTACACACACACACAGACGCTTTTATACCCAGATGCTTGTACACACACACACACTTTCACGCACAAACGCTTTTGCACACAGAAGCTTTTATACACAGAGGCTTTTACACAGCTTTTACACACAGAAGCTTTTACACACAGACACTTTTACACACAGACATTTTTACCCACAGAAGCTTTTACACACACACAAACACACAGAAGCTCTACAACAGCTGAGAGCATCACATCAACAGCGCACATTGTTTTGGTCTGCTACATCATCACGACAAATCTGTTCACACCGTGCGAAAGATTTGAGCCCAGGAATGTGCAACTCGCCTGTAGTAAAGAGGTAAATCTGTATGAATTTGCGCAGTCGACCGCAAAGTATTAGATCTTCAACTTCGAAACTGAGAACACGACTCCTGAGTTTGACATAGCAAAGCACCATTGTCGCGACGACCTGCAAGCTCGAGACTCAGCACTACTATGATGCTGTGAATGACACATATTTCTAGAATTTGATGATCGGACTTTTCATAAACAAATAAACAACAAAAGCTCGGTACCATGATGCCATAGATGCCACATGTTACGCTACTTTACACTCGACATAGCAGCGAAACTACATCAAAAAAAGCTCGGTACCATGATCATCTGCATGACATATGTTATGTCATTTTATTAAGGAAATTTCCATGCAAATCACCAAAACAAGCTCGGTACCCTGATGCTGTAAATGATATATGTTACACTACTTTACTCAAAACAATTCAACAGAAATACAGAAAAAAATGAAACAGCGACCACAATGCGTTCACAAACGTCACGGGTGCGCGACTTGAACCAAACATTTTGCATTCAGAAATCCCGAGACATGCATATCTGTTCGCTAATTCCTAATATTTGTTCCTGATATTTAATGCTAATCTTCATGTTCACACTGACCGAAACGCATCTTGTCCATTCGTTCACATCCGAGCCCAGGAACTATACTTCACTATGTCTGCAAACGTTTGCAACAGATCTCGATGCCATGACATGCTTGATTTCAAAACAATGCCATGACATGCTTGATTTCAAAACAAAAAGTTTGAGTTCAGGACCATACTCTGTCATTGAGCGACACTCGTCCAAACAACAGCATCGTTGTGTGGTCTCAACCTTGGTGTAGCGCGCACCATCGAAAGCAGTTGTATTGCTGTTGCATTGCATTTTAATATACAATTTCCCACACAAATTGCCAAAAAAGGCTCGGTACCATGATGCTGTAAATTACATGCATCACACCGTTCTCGAAGGAACCATCCACAAAGGTACAACGAACCCAACAGCTTGGTAACTTCTACAACTTCATGCACTAACCTGCTACGCACTCGCACAATGCAATGCAAAGAATGTGTTCTTCGAAGCCTGAGACCACGACTCCTGCGTTTGACATGCAAACATCATTGTCGCATAGACATGCAAACTGAACAGTGAAGCTCACTATGAACATATCAATTCCCACACAACGCACCAAACGAACCGAGCTCCACACGTCCTAGCACGGATGCACTAGCAAGCATTTTCACCCTCAATCTCTGACAGTTCCATGTCGTGCGGTAAAACTACACACAAAAGCTTTTACCCACAAACGCTTTTACAGATGGTGCTTTTACACAAACACACTTTGACACGCAGACGCTTTGACACACAAAAGCCTTTACACACAAACGCTTTTACACAGACGCTTTTACACACAAAAGCTTTTACACACAAAAGCTTTTACACACAGACGGTTTTACACACAGACGCTTTTACACGCAGACGCTTTTACACGCAGATGCGTTTTACACACGCACACACGCTTTCACACACAAACGCTTTTACACACAGACGCGTTTACACACAGACGCTTTTACACACAGACGCTTTTACACGCAGATGCTTTTTACACACGCACACACGCTTTCACACACAAACGCTTTTACACACAGACGCTTTTACACACGGACACTTCAAGACAAAGACGCTTTTAAATTTTACACACGGACATTTACACACAGACGCTTATACACATAGATGCTTTTACATACAGACACTTTTACACACAGACGCTTTAACACACAAACACTTTCACACACAGAGGCTTTTTACACACAGACGCTTTTACACACACACTTACACACACACACACTTTCACACACAGAGGCTATTTCACAGAGGCTTTTACACACAGACGCTTTTACACACAGACGCTTTTGCACACAGACACTTTTGCACACAGACACTTTTACACAGACACTTTTACACACAGACACTTTTACACAGACACTTTCACACACAGAGGCTTTTACACACAGAAGCTTTTACACACAGAGACTTTTACACACAGAAGCTTTTAAACACAGGCGCTTTTACACACAGACGCTTTTACACACAGAGGCTTTTACGCACAGACCATTTTACACACAGACGCTTTTACACACAGACGCTGTTACACACAGACCCTTTTACACACAGACACTTTTACACACAGACCCTTTTACACACAGACGCTTTTACACAGAGACGCTCTTACACACAGACGCTTTACACACAAACACTTTCACACACAGAGGCTTTTACACACAGAAGCCTTTACACAAAGACTCCTTTACACACAGGCGCTTTTACACACACAGAAGCTGTTACACAGAGGCTTTTACACACAAACACTTTGAAACACTGTTGCTTTTACACACGGACGCTTTTACACACAGAGGCTTTTACACACAGACGCTTTTACACACAGACACTTTGACACACAGACGCTTTTACACACAGACGCTTTCAGACACAGAAGCTTTTACACACAGACTCATTACAGAGACGTTTACACATAGAGACTTTCACACACAGAAACTCCTTTACACACAAACACTTTCACACACAGACGCTTTTACACACAGACGCTTTTACACACAGACTCCTTTACACACAGACGCTTTTACACAGAAGCTTTTACACACAGAAGCTTTTACACACAAACACTTTTACACACAGACGCTTTTACACACAGACGCTTTTACACACAGACGGTTTTACACACAGAAGCTTTTACACACACACACACGCACACACACGCGCATTTCTAGTACACACAGACACACACACAGGCTTTCACACACAGAGGCTTTTACACACAGACGCTTGCACAGGGACTTGTACACGCAAACACTTTCACACACAGACGCTTTTACACAACACTTTTACACACAGATGCTTTTACACACAGACACTCTTACACAGACGCTTTTACACACAGACGCTTTCACACACAGAGGCTTTTACACACAGAAGCTCCTGTATACACAGAGGCTTTTACACAGACACTTTTACACACAAACGCTTTTACTCACAGACGCTTTTACACACAGACACTTTTACACACACTTTTGCACAGACGCTTTTACACACAGACGCTTTTACACACAGACGCTTTTACACACAAACACTTTCACACACAGAGGCTTTTACACACAGACGCTTTTACACACAGAGGCTTTTACACACAGAAACTTTTGCACACAGACACTTTTACACACAGACACTTTTACACAAAGAGGCTTTTACACACAGACGCTTTTACACACAGACACTGTTACACACACGCTTTTACACAGACGCTTTTACACACAGACGCTTTTACACACAGGCGATTTTACACACAGACGCTTTTACACACAGACACTTTTACACACAAAAGCTTTTACACACAAACGCTTTTACACACGGCACTTTTACACACAGACACTTTTACACACAAACGCTTTTACACACAGACGCTTTTACACACAGACCCTTTTTCACACAAACACTTTCACACACAGAAGTGTTTACACACAGACTCCTTTACACACAGGCGCTTTTACACACAGAAGCTTTTACACACAGAAGATTTTACACAAAAACAAAACTTTCACACACAGAGGCTTTTACACAGAGGCTTTTACACAGAGGCTTTTACACACAGACGGTTTTACACACAGACGGTTTTACACACAGACGCTTTTACACACAGACACTTTGAAACACAGACGCTTTTACACACAGACGCTTTTACACACAGAGGCTTTTACACACAGACGCTTTTACACACAGACACTTTGACACACAGACGCTTTTACACACAGACGCTTTTACACACAGAGGCTTTTACACACAGAGGCTTTTACACACAGACACTTTTACACAGACGAAAGCGTTACGATTGACCAAGTAAAATCGCATTTTTTCCTCAGTTTTTGACGTCCAACGTCCATTTCGTGCGTAAGGGTTGCGATTGAATAAGTAAAATCGCAATTTTTCCGCAGTTTTTGACGTCCAACGTCCATTTCGTGTGTAAGGGTTGCGATTGACACCTCAAAGTCGCAATTTTTCCTCAGTTTTTGACATCCAACGTCCATTTCGTGCGAAAGGGTTGCGCGGGACACCTCAAAGTCGCAATTTTTCCGCAGTTTTTGACGTCCAACGTCCATTTCGTGCGAAAGGGTTGCGCGGGACACCTCAAAGTCGCAACTTTTCCTCAGTTTTTGACGTCCAACGTCCATTTCGTGCGAAAGGGTTGCGCGCGACACCTCAAAGTTGCAATTTTTCCTCAGTTTTTGGGGGGGAGGGGTGGGGTTTGGTTTGGGGGGGTTTGGGGGGTTTTTGTTGGGCTGTTGGTTTGGTTTGGTATGGGTGGGGTTGGGGGGTTTGGGGCCTTCCACGTCCTTTTCGTGCGTAAGGGTTTTCGCGTGACACCTCAACGAAAAGTCGCACTTTTTTCCTCAGCCTTTCCACTCCCGATCCTTCTGCCCCCGACAGTTTTTTGACGTCCACCGTCCATCTTCGTGCGACAGGGTTTGCGATTGACACTCAAGTCGCAATTTTTTCCGCAGTTTTTGACTGTCCAACGTCCATTTCCGTGCGAAAGGGTTGCGCGGGGATACCTTCAAAATCCGCAATTTTACCTAGGTTTTGGAACTTCCAACTTCCCCTTTCGTGGCGAAAGGTTGCGTTTTTCGTTGGCGCTCCGGCGGCACCGCCCCCCCCCCGCCTTAAGAGAGAATAAAGAAGACGAGAGGAAGATCTGCAGATGTTAGGTGTGAATATGGTATATCTGCAGATGTGAGGTGTGAAGATCTAGATCTGCAGATGTGAGGGTGTGAAGAATCTAGATCCTGCAGGTGTGAGGGTGTGTGAAGATCTTAGATCTGCCAGGTGTGAGGGTGTTGAAGATCTAGATCTGCAGATGTGAAGGTGTGAGGATCTGTGTGAAGGTGTGAAGATCTAGAATCTGCAGGTGTGATGTGAAGATGTAATCAGCAGATGTGAGGGTGTGAAGATCTAGATCTGCAGATGTGAGGGTGTGAAGATCTAGATCTGCAGATGTGAGGGTGTGAAGATCTAGATCTGCAGGTGTGAAGGTGTGAAGATCTAGGTCTGCAGATGTGAAGGTGTGAAGATCTAGATCTGCAGGTGTGAAGGTGTGAAGATCTAGATCTGCAGATGTGAAGGTGTGAAGATCTAGATCTGCAGATGTGAAGGTGTGAAGATGTAGTATAACGGCTGCTTTTTTACGAAGAACCCTTCGCAGGCGCTCTCGGGAAAAAATAGATCACCGTGTTTAGCATTTGGGGGGGTGTTTTAGTATTAGGGAGCAAAGGTTAGTACGCGCATGGTTCCTAACTAATGTTCTCACCACAATATTCAAATCGAAATCTTGGCAAATGTATTAGATCTAATTGTTCATATTGGGGTCCGTTATTCTTAGGACTGTTTCAAGTATTCCCACTACTCTGTACAATGCTACTCCGTACAATGCTACTACACCAAACATATTCCCAATAATTGATAAGTAGTCTTCCAGGATTTTTTTTTGGGTCTCTCCTTCATGTGGCTCTGGAAAGTAGCTCTAAATCACATCTAAATCCCGCAGTTCCTCATTTTAAAATGCCAATTGCTATTTGATGACTATACCGCTATACCGGCTATACCCCACTTCCAGGTACCACAACCCATGGGGGCCATAGAGGCCACAAGAATACCAGGCCGCCTTCGGTGGAGTCTTGGTGGTCTGCAGGCCAGCCAAGTAGTTTCCACCTCACCCGCTGTTCATCTACGCCCAACCGCGGCCCTTCTGTCAACCGAAGTTGGTCCAAAAACACAAAGGGGCGCCTCTCCTGCAACAATACAAAATCATATATTGTGTTGTTGTTTTCTCATGTAGGGGACCCTTGCGACTGCTCCTTTAAACTAATCCAATTAACAATTGGAAGGGCAAGATTCTTGGCAAATGTTAATACGACACTTCTTGAACCACCCACATTTGGGATCGTTAATTTTGACCAATACCCAAATGAGAATTGCAGCTGGGAATGGAACAATTGCGATTTCTCGAATTTTTAAAAAACCGAGCGTGCTTTAATTGACCCGCTTGGAATAAGGCCCCTGGATTAGTTGGGGGATGAACATACATGAAATGTCTTGTCGTGAAAGCCAAACCCCAAAATCCACCTGTTGATGTTTGAGATACTCATTGTTGTCGTAGGATTGGTGCGTTGAACCGAATCATTGAAACATAGCACAAGCATCTTGGGAACCATCTCCAACAAACCACCAAAGAGTACTCTTTCAGATTATCACTGATCCTTCAGGCATCTTTTTCAGTGTGACACAACAATTAGCGGAAAACCCATGCGGCCCCAGCCACGCGCTTGATGTGGCAGCTCCAAATCCCACTTCAATGCACTCCAGGACGGGGGACTTGGTGGCTTTCAAGTCATCAGACTCTTTGGTGGTTTGGTCATAAAACAACTTGCAAAATGTGGTAGAGTGACCATCGGCCCTTGAATGTCTGGTTTTCCAACAAGCTCAAGGCTCAAGAGCACAAAAACGTTGTGCAAAGCCTTTCAGTGTCTCTAAAAGGGTCCATCAATGGAAATTGGTTCAAGTTAGTTCTAAAAGACATACTAATATGCATACATATACACGGGTTACAAAATACGCATAGTATTAAATATAATTCAACACACACACACATGTACAATATATATATATAACCATCCTGAAGTAGATAGAATCTCTGGAATTTCAAAAAAAAAAAGGTCCGAAAAAAACCTATAGATAGAATCCCAAAATGGCTCAAAAATCCGGGTCGATGATTGGTAAAAAAAAGGTCCCTCAAAAATGATCACAAAAGCGGTCATTTAGCTTGTGATTTGGTTGTTTGGGCCTTTGGAATGACCACCAAATGTTGTCATTATGCTGGTGTATTAGGTTCTGGCATGCGAATTTCAGCCCAAAATCTTCCAAAGAAATTGTCACTGTTGCTGGTGGTTCCCAGAAATATAGATCCTTTGGCAGTGGTATTCAATAGTCAAATCCAAGAAAGGAATGGGTGTGGGTCAAATTATCACACCCCAAAATTGATAGTTGATTTTTTAAGATGTGAAATTTTGAAATTGAGCTGGGGCCAAATTTGACCCGTACCCATTTAGCTACAGTGTGCTCACCGGACCTCCTGGAGATTTTGAATTTGGACATCGATCAAAATCGGATACTTTAAAAAGTAATCTGTATAGAATTGGGTGTAATTGGGACAGAAGGTTTTGATCCATCCCCATATTCTTCTATATTCTTTCATATTCTATCTATGGTATCAACCACTGTGCTGACCCCTCCCTACTGCATTCTGCTAACAACGGCAGGTTTCCAAAAACCATCCCATGTGTTGTAGATTCTTTGGCAATGGTATTTTTGGTTCCCGGGATGCCCAAATAGTCAAACCCAATAAAGGTGCAGTTTACATGGAACATTCATGCCTCAATTGTAGGCCTTTTACTATCAAGCGAATGTCAAAAGGAGCTGTAGTTCCGCAGGGTTATGAGCCCAACGGTGGCGCAATGGAAAGATCAGCTTCGGTTCCACCTAATCCCTTTTGGAGTCAAAGGGTTCAAGCAGAACATGAACTAGAGGAAGCTAGACCTGAAGACCTTCCCATTCAGGATGATGATGGGTCGAGTGATAGGGGATGCACCAAAACCCAGTGTCACCAGCCCGGGGTCAGCCTGTGAAGCCGAGCAAGCCAGCTGCCGCTTCTGCGGCGAGGCGCGGAGCAGGGGGGAAGAGGTTAAGGTCTAGGAGTGCTCCAAAAGAGAGGCGGAGGGACGGGGGGAGTGAAGGAAAGTTTCAAACCCCGAAGAGCTGGGATAAACCAACAGGGAAAGGTAGAGGGGGTGTTGATGGTGAGAAGAAAGAAGTAAGGGGTGAAGGGCAAGGGGAGAGTTCCTTGCAACGGGAGCTGGAAAAGGCAATGCTTGAGAATCTGCAAGAGCAGAATGCGAAGCTCATGAGAAAGCTGAGCAAGCTTGAAGCGAAGCTGGACGCGGAGAGAAGTGAGAACAGCCAAGCAAGCAAGCACGACAACACTCAAAGCACAGCAAACCAGCAGCCTGAACCCAAAACACCACCACACAACACACCCATGATGACGCCGTTGTCACCGTCGGCAGCAATTCGATACACACCAGGAGGAACAAGAGTCCCATCAGGACCACCGCCTGAAGACAGACCTCAGATCCCTGAGTGGCCGGAGTCACTGAAGTTCTATGAAGTGAAGGAAGAGGAGAGAACAACATTCAGGGACTGCAGGCAATGGGAGCCGGGGTTGGGGTTACAGAGGACTGGGCGGGGGCGATGGGGCAACAAGGATATGGGGAGTGGGAGTGGTGGCATGGGAGGGAGCTCCAGCAGGAAAGCAATGGGGAGCAACCACACCAGCAGACACACCACATACCGCCCAACAAGCAGTGAAGAGAGAGACAGCAAGAACATCACAAACCATCAGCAAGCCGCAGCTGAGGAGACAGAGCATTCAGGGATGAAGAGATCTCTGGAGCGAGAGGAAGGAACAGATGAGGAGGATGAACAAGTCTGGGCCGAACGAAGGAAATACTGGCAGAAACCCGTCAGTAAAGGCCCAAGAGGAGCGTCAGCATCAGGACGAGAGGCGTCCAAAGTTTTGACAGCAGCAGCCAAGGAGATGAGGGCAAGGATGTACACCCAGGAGGAGGTTGATCAGATGCGGCAGCAACATGAAGCAAGCAAGAAAAGCGAGCAAAGCAAACCTACCACATATGAGCGTGGGGACGAAGGATTGAGGAGTTTCCCAATCACGCTTCCGCAGCTGCCAGAGCCCAGCATTGCCAACGCATCATTGGAAGCAGGCGATTGGCTGACACAGGTGAGACCACTCATCTCTGATGTGAGTGGCATGGTGGGCAGCAGTTGAGGAGGAAACAGCAAAGCAGTACCACTTATGGCTAACAGCAGCACCACTGGACAAACTGAAGGTAGCAGCACCTGACAACACCAAGCTAGCAAAAGGCAATGAGAGACTGGCACAACGTGTGGCAGTCATGCTGATGCAAGCAGTACCACAAGGGCTCCGACAGGAGTTGGTAGCATCCAGGCAGATGGAAGCAACACATATACTCTTTCGAGTATACAAAGCATACCAACCAGGCGGTCTAGCAGAAAGACGGCACACACTGTCACAGCTCACCAGCACCAGCACGGCAAAAACACCACAAGAAGCAGTCGCTGCCTTGCGGCTTTGGAAGCGTCAGGCCCAGAGAGCAGTGGAGTTGCAGGTAGCCATGCCTGACGCAGTCCTTCAAGTCAGAGCCCTCACAACAATAATGGAAGACATGCTCGCCAAGGATCCACAAGCATCGTTCCGGGTCAGCTCTCACCGAATGACCCACGGCATCGATGTCGCCCCATCAACAGGAGACATCAACCTGTTCTATGACTTGCTACTGGCAGAAGCAGAACACATGGTGATGAGCAACTCTACCACAACACAGGACATCAGCGGGCAAAGCAAGCCACATGTGAAAGCACTGCAGGCAAGCACTTACAGCAAAGGCAGAGAGCCTACATGCAAGTATTGGGGGCATGAAGCAGGATGCAGGGCAGGAAGAGCATGCAAGTACCAACATGACTGGTACAGTCTGCCAGACAAAAGTGAGCGATGCTGGGTGTGTTCAAGCAAAGGACACCGCAAGAGTGAGTGCCCCACAACAAAATATGAAGAACAGCCGCAGAGTGCGACTGGGGGGGAGTGCGCCCCAGGAAAGCAAAGGCACGGCACAAGAAGGAAACAAAGGAAAAGCAAAAGGCAAGGATAGGAAAGGAGGAAAAGGCAAGATGAACCCAGCCTCAACGCCAAAGCAAGAAGGAAAAGGTGGCAGCGAAAACAAGAGCAGTGAAGCCACAGAACAAGAGGAGAATCAACCAAGCATCAAAGCAGCAGGAAAAAGCAATCAGGGCAAAGAAGATGTGACGGAAGGCACAAGAAGTCAAGAAGAACTGGTGTCGGAAGTCACAAGCCTGCTGAGGTCGCTTCGGGTAGATAGAGAGGAGCCAAGAATCGAGAATGGGTATGTTGTCAAGTGGGACAGGGAATCCTGCCGAATTGAACACGTAAGGCAGGGAAAGATTCCCATAGAAATGAACCAAGGATGCCCCACGGTGCAAGAGGTGTGGGGAAAAAGGTTGATGGAAGAAGTAGAAGAAACGGAAAGAAGAAAAGCCAGGATAAGGGCAATTATGGCATGCGGCGTGATGGCCGAAGATGAACACGAGAAGAAGGTGGCTGAACTGCAAGCGCTCTTTCCACAAGTCCCAATGAGGATACTGGAAAGGATCCCGGGGGAGAAGCAATGGGACCCAGATCAACTGCCCTTCAACAGAAGGAAAAGAAGGCAGATACAAAGAGCAAAGGCAGTGGTCATCAACATGTGCTCAGGACCCAACACGCAGCGATGGCGTGACTTGGAAAAAGAAGGAGTGGTGGTGCTCAACCTGGACGTGCTGCTGGGGGTGAATGTGATGGACCCACATGTGGCAGGATGGTTGGAAAGCATCATTGAAAGTGGCAAAGTGGTAGCATACACTTCAGGGCCACCATGCAGGTCAGTCTCACTGTGCCGGCACAGAGCACTTGAAGACGGAGGACCGAAGCCGGTGAGGATGAGACAAGGACCACAGAGGTTCGGCATACAGGGCATCACAGCAGGCATGCAAGAAATGGCAGACCACGATGCAGCACTGTGGTTAAAGAACCTGTGGTACATGAGGAGGATGAAGCAAAGGAATGAGGAAGCAGAAGTGATGCTGGAGCAACCACAAGACCCACAGGAATGGTGCTCAAAGGCAAAGGAATGCCCCACCTTCCTCAACTGGCCAGAAACAAGAAGAACAATCAAAGATCTCGGTCTGATGGAGGTCAAGTTTTGCCAAGGAGGTGTAGGTCACGCAACGGCAAAGCCAACAACACTAGCAACAGACATGCCAGAACTGTTGGAATTGAACGGCATTAAGAGCAACAGCAGAAGCAACACATGGCCCGAGAGCTTGGGGCAAAGATTGCAGATGTCCAGGAGCCTGGCAGAGTGGGCACCTGGACTGGTGGAGATCATCAAAAGAGCAGTGAGAAGACTGACTCGAGATCCACCCATGATGAAAGCCCTTACGGCAAAAGAACGAGAAGCCATGAGAGAGTGGCAGGCTCATGTGGAGATGAACCACATGCCATACAGAAGAGACTGTGGAGTTTGCATAGAGACGATGGGAAGAGATCGGCCAAGAAGAAGACAGAAGAAGCCAGAGCCATTCACGCTGGCACTAGACATAGCAGGACCGTATGTGCCGGGCCACGACCAGGTCCTATACCACAAGCACAAATACATACTCATTGGGGTCATGACAATCCCAATGTGGAAAGGACGGCCAATGGTTGAAGGACTGAGGAGACTAGCCGGCGATGAAGAGCCCATGGCCGAGATCCCAAGTCCACCAGAAGAATCAGAAAAGCAGGAGGACAACAGAGAGGCAAGACAAGAAGAGCAGGCAGGGCAGCCTGGAGAACAAAGAGATGGGCGAGAAGAACCAGATGACCCATTCCTAGCTATTGAAGAGCTAGACGATGAAGCGGAGGAGAATCCTTTTAAAGAGGAAAGTCCAGAAGAAGCCGAAGAAATTTCAGAGGCACAGGCCAAGGACTGTGATGAAAGAAACCAAAAATGGAAAGAATTCATGACAGACACTGAAGAAATGCCAGTTCAATCACTGACAATGGCCGTACCTATACGATCCAGGAAGTATGAAGATGTAGTCAAAGGAGTGGCAAGGATCGTGGCCAGAATGAGAGCACTACACATACCACTGAACAGAATACACACAGATCGAGGCCAGGAATTCTGCAGCAAGGAGTTCCAGAAGTGGATACAGAGCAGAGATCTGTGGCACACCACAACAGCAGGTGACGAACCGTCATCAAACGCAAGAGCAGAGAATCACCTGAAACTCTTACAAGGAAGAACAAGAACATTGATGAAAACAGCCAAGTGCGATGTCACATACCGGCCACTGGCATTGCGATATGCCTCTGAAGAGAAGTTCAGGTCACAACTCCGAGCATGTGGAGTCCCAACACCAGCAATGATACCCTTCGGGGTCAAAGCATACGCCAAAAAGAAACAATGGCAAGACAAGCATCAAATGTGGCGAACACCCATGGTCGCAGTATGGGTGTGGGGCCCAGCATATGACATGAGCATGACAAGCAAGGGGTACTTCCTGGAGACCATGGACACAAACACCTTCATGAGATCCACGGTTATTGTAGTACCTAAGCAAGCACCAGCAATAGCCGACGCACAACAAGCACCTGGTGAAGCATCACCAGGTAACATTCCGGGCAATCCCGGCCCTCAACAAGCAGAGGAGAACGAGGCAGTCCTTTACTCTCCATCCATCGGCCCTGATGCAGACATAGGACACGGAGGTCTACTGGAGGAAGGCCCTGACATGGATGGGGGAGGTGGAACTGGAATTGGAAACACCAACACGTACGAACAGAGGCATTCCAGCACATGATCCACCAAGGATGCGCCTGAACGGTAAACAAGCAGCACCCTTTTACGATGGAAGAGAGTTTCCTCCGACCTTGAGACAAGTACAGGTCGGGGGGGAGTGGATGGGTGAGAGTGCACTGCCAGAAGAAGAAGAAGCACGAGAACAGTGCAAAAGAGGAAGATGGAAAGCACAACAAGAAGATTTGATGTTAATGGAGCATGAAGGAATGGTGAACTAGGTCAAAGAAGAAAGATGCGTAGCAAGAGACCCGGGAACGCTCCACACAGTGCTGAGCGTGGAAGCAGAAATTGGAAGACTAGAAAAGACCCTGGAGGAGCAAGCAAGGATCAGCAAGATCGAGGTGGAAGAAGAAGTGCTCCAAACAAGGGTGATCCCACCAGAAGAGGTGAGGCAGGATATGGAAGGGTGGAAGCCAGTATTCCAAAAAGAATACGACATGCTGAGAGCTGGGCCGATCACCCCCATCTTTGAAGAAGAGATGAGAGAACTTGAAAGGAAGCAAATCCCAATAGAGGTGTTGCCGGCAAAGGCAATTGCATCGAAGAAGCCGCCAAACAGGCGAAAAGGCCGTGTAGTGGTCTGCGGGAATTTCACTGAGGACAGGGATGGGCAGGACATCTCGGTGGGTGGGGTGTGTGCCATGGCAGTACGGGGGGTGGTGCATGTAGCAGCATGCAAAAACTGGACCCTAGGATCCATTGACGTGGCAGGGGCATTCCTGCAAGCACCAAGGCGGGAAAAAGCCACCTTGACGGTGGTGCAGCCCCCCAGGCTGCTGCAACAACTCAACATCACCGAGCCGAACGAGAAATGGCTGGTGAACTGCGCCTTGTACGGCTTTGTGGAGAGCCCGGCAGATTGGGCAAATCACCGTAACCAAAGCATGGAAAACATGACATGGGAAAATGAGGAGCAGCGGTTTTGGTTGGAAAGAACTCCAGAACAACACTTATGGAAAGTGAAGAAACAGAAAAAAGATGGAAAAGCGGAAAGACCGCAAACAGCAGGTTGGGTAGCAGTGTATGTTGATGACTTCCTAGTTGCCATGGAAGCCAGCGAGATAGCAGGAATGTTTCAAGCAATAAAGGCAACTTGGAAGTGCTCAGAGGAGGAATATGTTAGAAGCGACAAAGGAATGCGCTTCTGCGGGTATGAGATCAGAGCACGAGAAACAGGAGGATTTGAAATGACCCAAGAAGGGTATGTCAGAGATCTCATATCAAGGTATGGAGTGGAGGGCACTGAGACAAGTGCAATGCCAAAGGTAGAGGATGACGAAGATGAGGAGAACCCAAAGCCAAGTGTTATTAGACTAGCACAAGGGCTTTGTGGCGAACTGCTATGGGTAGCAGGAAGAACCCGACCTGACACAGCATATGGGGTGGGGTTGATGAGCAGATTGATTCACAGGCGGCCATCCCTAGTAGTGGAGCTAGGATACCACATGCTGAGGTACGTGAGAGGGACACCACAGTTGGGGCTGGTATATAGGCCAGTGGCACCAGAAGAATGGGACACCATCAAAGTCCTTGCTGACACGTCGTTTGCCCCACCACATGAGAAGTTCAGATCAGTACAAGCAGTAGTGATTGAACATGGGCTCAATGTTTTGGCATGGGAAACATCAAGGCAGGCGTTTGTGACACAGTCAACAGCTGAAGCAGAGCTTGTTGGATACAACGAAGCGTTCCAGGTAGGCCAAGCAACAGGAGCTTTGTTGGAAGTTTTGGAAATCAATGTCATGCGAAAACTGCAGGGAGACTGCAAGGCGGGCCTGGCACAACTCACGGGCGACACGGGTCCATGGCGCACCAGGCACCTTCGCTTGAGATCAGCGAAACTCCGAGAAGCTTTGAGAGATCCAGGGTCAGGCTGGAGTGCAGAGCACAAGCCAGGCATTGAGTTAGTAGCAGACGGGCTCACAAAGAGCTTGCAAGGAGCAGCGTTTCAAAGATTTGTTGGAATGCTGAGAATGAGAACTGAGAGAGGAGAACATGCAATAGGCAATGAACCAAAAGTAGCAAAGCTTAGCGTTTCACCCAACAATGAAATCCTCATGAAAGCATGTGCAGTGGTAGGAGTAGCACTGTTGCGGGATGACGTAGTCACAGCCTGTATTCTACTGGTAGCTGCATTTGTTTTGAGGGTGGAGGGAAGAAATCAACAAGACCCGGCACAAGACCGCAAAAGGATCCCCATAAAAAACAGTGGAGTACTAGTATAGTACCACTAGTATACCCTCCCTAAACCCTCCCAGTGATACGTGGAATATAACATGTATATTTCCAATATCTAAAGAGGGCGCGCAACTACGCGGTATATATCTCAAACTTATAAACATACCAAAAACCGAAAACAAATCAGCTCTCCAAAAAACAAATCAGGCATCTCAAAGACTCCAAACAGCTTCACATGAAAAATGCAAACGCAATCTGATGATCTCTGTACGGCTCTTTCTTTTTTTCCTTCGCATTTTCATTGGGTACGGATTGGAATCCAGCCCCTTTTGCAACATCCGTCAGTTGACCATTTGCGAATCGTACCCGAGCTGAAAGTTGCATCCGGGACTGGGTGGGTGGGACCTTTTTAGTCTCCAACCCTTTTGATCCACTAAACATAGTGAGATAAAGGAAAAACATATGAAACCATTCATCACGGAATTCAAGTTGAAAAGAATTCAGGTTTCAGATTTGTTTGTCCAAATAAAAACCGAGGAAAAACAAATCAAGATATAAATGCGAGAAACCAAAACGGGTTCTATCTGGAAATAAAAACCGAGAATTCGAGCAACGGAATTCCAAAAAGACATGTTTGCAGAACATTCAAGTTCTCATAAGCAGGAACCCATAGAAGAATGTCCAGAACCATACAGGACCTTTCCGGAAACCGCGGGAAAAGATAAGCTCAATAAAGAGCAGTGACGCGAGGAGAGAACGCGTAGGCGCAGGGAGAGACGGCGCACAATACGGGCGCAGGCACTAACTAATACACTATCGCAACGAGTCGCGAGTGCGTACTAGTATAGTACCACTAGTATACCCTCCCTAAACCCTCCCAGTGATACGTGGAATATAACATGTATATTTCCAATATCTAAAGAGGGCGCGCAACTACGCGGTATATATCTCAAACTTATAAACATACCAAAAACCGAAAACAAATCAGCTCTCCAAAAAACAAATCAGGCATCTCAAAGACTCCAAACAGCTTCACATGAAAAATGCAAACGCAATCTGATGATCTCTGTACGGCTCTTTCTTTTTTTTCCTTCGCATTTTCATTGGGTACGGATTGGAATCCAGCCCCTTTTGCAACATCCGTCAGTTGACCATTTGCGAATGGTACCCGAGCTGAAAGTTGCATCCCTTTAGGATAACGAGGGCGCCAATCACCAATGGTCCAGCTTTTTCTTTTGTTTCGGTGAAGCTTTCCTCTTCTTACCTTTGTTTTCCAATTTGGCTTTCTGTAGTTCAGTAAAGAACTCCTTGGCTTTATTCATCAGACCGTCAAGCACATACCATCTGGTGTCTCCGCCAACCCATTGAACTCTCCGATCATCTGGGAATTTGCCAAAATCCTCATTGGTGAGGTCGTCTGCCAATTGGTTGTATTCTCGCGGTATCCATTCCAAACCTAACTCACAGTTGCGCAGCCTCAATGTCTCCGAGAGCTCTAACACCAACAGAGTCAAAGGAAACTTAGTACTCATGAGCTTATTGACCGCATAGGTGTTCCCCTGGTTGTCCGTGCCTGCCCGAATCCAACAAGTACCAGCGCTAGCTGTCCCCAGATCCTTTGTCCAGAGTCTAACCGCCACCAAGGTTGCAAGAAGCTCTAAACTTGCAATGACTCTCTTCGGGTTGTTTTTCACAAAGAGCCAAGGCGCCCATTCGGGCTCAATCTTTTCAGAAAACCAAGAACGTATCTCACCCTCTTTGGATTCCAAGAACCCACCAATCCAAGCACCAGTGTCCGTTGCCTTGGCATCGGTGAAGAAAACCACATCAGGAGTTACACTCCTTTTCAAGGGCGGTGGAGTCTGCAAGTCACCGCCTTCCTCCACCCGCCGACCAAGGAAGTAAAGAATGGTCCGTAGCATCGCAGGGAGCTTCAGAGCCCCCTTCTTACTCCTGACAGCCGCAGTCCACGCAAACAATGGCCCCAAGAAAGGACGCTCCCATAGGAGAGCATTTGCAGCAAAACATAGGCGCCCAAGTCCCTGCTCCATCTCTTTCGCAGTGACGCTTCCCGATTCAGCAAGACCTTTGGTCCATTTTGCAACCCAAGCTGCTCTTGAAGGTGAAAGGCCCAGCCTCATGCTGGTGTAGTCTGCAAAAAGCCCTATCCATTCCACTTTCAAGCCACCTCTCTGTTTTGCCCACTTGAAAGGAAACCCAAGAACTGCTAAAAATAGAAAAGCCAGCACTATGCCTCTTCTCCCTTGTCTATCCGGTCCCAGCGCTTCAAGGTCATCCGCAAATATTAACATCTCCACTGGCATTTCTGGTCCAATCAACTCATGAACCAATCTCAAGCCCGAGCCTGCAATGCGACCCCACCAATACGATGCTGAAGCCACTCCAAACGTTCCAACATTGTTGATGTACACATGGTCATCGGTTGAAAGAACCCTACATGCCAAAAGTCCCCTCTCACTGGGGTGATGCAAGAAACGCCTATGAGCTTTACTGATGTCGCCCACGAGACTGAAGACCACTTTGCCCTTGTCTTTGTAGTAAGCCATCAAGTACATCTTCTCTCTGGCCCCCGGACTTCTCTGTTTGTCCCGGCATTTGATTCTATTGTTAACCTTTGTCCCATGCGTTGCATCATGTATTATTCGCTTCTTGTTTCCATGAGACTCCTCCACCAAAACCGATAGGGACGAGATCGCAATCTTATCCCCAAAGCGGCGTTTCGCCTCTTCCAGTGTCATCTTTTCCATGAGCCCTTCTTCGCATTCAGTTTTGAAGTGGTCACGCACGAACTCCTCATGGTCCTTGACCGACTCATAGTTATCACGCCATATCTCTTCACGCATGTATGGATCTTCTTCTAACTTCCATGCTGTTTGCTCCTCGTACATGTGGGGAGTCCTCGGAAGTTGACAAAGGACCCCCACAGGAAACCCTTTCTGGCCTTGCAAGAGGAAACGGTGGTCTGAATCACCTGCACGTTCTAACAGCGCCTGCATGAGCTTCAACCTAAAAGGCTGCCCCTGTGCAATTTCGCCCAGACCCTCAGTCTCATATCCCTCTTCTCTCAAAAGGGTGGTCCAAAGATCCACCAACTTTGACTGTAGCACCTGGTCTCGCACCAGGTTGCAGCCATGTTCACCCTTGGCTGCCATCTGAAAACACTCCAAGTCCAACTGTTGCAAACCACCACAGCTTTCCAAAACTAAACGCAAGGATTTCTCTCTCAGTTTCTTCCAAAAACCGTCAGTGTTCCATGTCCTGTGTTCCAGGTCCCAGCGCCCTGGTGAAGCTAAACCTGCACCATCATGGAATTCTCTGACCTTGCCAGGGGATCTGCAGATCCTTGGTTCACCTCTCCCCCCACGTGTCTTCCAACCTTCTGGTTCTGTGGTTGTAAATTTTTCCGAAGTTGTTGTGGCATTTTGTTAAACCCCTCCGGAGGCCAAAACGACTGAGGTATGAAACTTCTCCAAAATTTGAGAAGCTATCCAACGGCACAGCGCACTGGGCCACTGCTCTGTGCCTTTTGTAGCAAAGCTGTTGCCCGTGTGTCCAATCAGCTGTCGTGCCGCCTGTCTCCTTGTTAGGGGACCCTGGTAAAAACCTTGTTCATCAAAAGTAGGTTTACCTGGCACAAACTCTGACTGTTGTTGAAATTGGAAACCTTTGAGCAGCAACCGCGTGGGTTTCAAATACTCCGTGCCAAAATCAGCTTGATAAAACGCCACTGTTTCCCAACCGCTTTGTTCCAGCAACTCGAAAAAGGTTGGCCATTGCCACATACTGGCCGGGCGTTGGCCATAAAGATTTCCCTGTTGTACTGCTCCAAGGTCTTCTGGGTTTTCAAACAACAGCATAGTGTCTGTCTCAGAAACTTCAATACATACTTCAAAAGAAAAGTCAGTGAGCTCGTTTCCCCATTTGGCTTTCTGTCTTTCGGACCATGTCAATCTCTGTAGTCCTCTCGGCTGCACGTAGGAACGGACCGGTCTGGGTCGCTTTCTGTTCGACCATGTCGCCCGAGTAAATGTGCTGCAAGGCGGTGAAATCAAAATTGCAAAGTAACGTCCACTACGTATTTTGTTTAACAAAAGCTGTCTGTTCTTTGACTTGGTCAAGTCCCAGTTTGGACGGACTTTGATGTCAATCATCTCGACTTGAACTGTGATGCCCATGCGTGAGCCCAGCTTTTTGGCCCATGAAGAAACAGATCCTTTTCGGCTGCTCCCTGAAAAAATGTACAAAACACGGCACACTCTGGTTCCAGTTTCTGCGCCAGTCAAATTCTGTGAAACTGCTCCACTTCCATCCTCTTCCATTAGTCAGTTAGTGCCCGTAGTATCCGGGCTGCTCTCTTTGCAGTTCAAGGCATTGTGACCTTTCTTGTAGCATTTGCTGCAAATATGTGCGAACTTGCAACCTTTGTGCTTGCACGTGCCCTTGTTGAACCGGTAGCAGTATTTTTCTCCTGTAGGTCCTTGTCCTTTCCCCTTGGAGGATCCTTTGGGCGATTTTGTCTTGCCCTTTCCTTTGGCATTCCAAACGCCTGGTGATGGTGTCGACGATGAAGTCGCTCCATAGGATCTCTTTGAGTACAACGCCAATGGAGTAATGAAATGTCGCTCTTTCACTGTTGGGCACTTCTAAGCTTGCTCCAAGGCTGCACCAAGCTGCAGCCTGTCTTTGATCATGATCACGTATGCTCTCTTTCTAATGGCCTGTTCGTAGGCCAAAACCAAGCTCCATGGTGGCGTCTGAATCTGTTGCCCTTGAAGGTCTGTCGAGCTAAGGCCCCAAACGTAATCTCCCAGCAGGTAGTCTTTGTATCTATCAAAGACATCCTTGTCCACATCCTGAATTTCTTCTCTGTTGACATGCTTCAAGGCCAGCATCATGATGCAGTTCTGCATGACGCTTAGCCGCCTCCTCAGCTGTTCAGGCCCCGTTGGTAAGGCCACTGTGGATGAGCCCTTCTTCACACTGAGAGCCCCTTTGGCATCAAAAATAGGCACCAAAACGTCTGGGTCCACTTCGTCCTGGCTAACTACTTCCGACAAGGTTTCCGCCCTGAACTCTCCATTCTCCAGTTCTTGTAGTTTCTTTTCCAAGTACTCCTTTGCAGGAGTAACCTTATCTTCCAGGTGCCCCATTGCCTGCTGGTAGGCATTGCGGAGCTGGACATAGTCTCCTGTGGGGATGGGTTTCGTCCATTCCCTTGTATTCATCTCCGCTTCGACTTCCGCCTGCCTCTTTGCCTTTGTACTGACCTCCTTCCAAGAGCAGATCACAGCTGCCACTTTTGCACGATCTCCCAAGGATGCGGCAGCATCCACATTGAAATCATCCCTAAGCACTTGCACCAAATCCACCTCATCTCTAAAGAAAGCAGAAAACTTGTTAACGCTTGTAACTCCGTGCGTGAAAAACTGAGCCTGCACCTCTTCTGGCACCTCGTTCCTTTCAAAGGTAAAACGCAAGTCTGAATTCCCCAGCTTCAGAGTCTCTTCGAGAGTCTGCGGTCCCACTCCAGGACCAATGACAGCCATGTCCTAACGTGCACCGCCCTCACATGAGGTAAAGAAACTGCTGTATCCAAAATTTATCTTTTCCAGTAATCGCTCTGTACAATATGTCCGATACTTGGAGTCAAATTGTTGTCATCTTCCAACTAAGTGATGTCACCACTCCCTTCTGGATGACTTTCCAAAAAAAAACCGGTTGAAATGACCTAATGCATTAAAAACTTTCCGATTGTCTTAACATCCTAGTGTCGCCCGTGCAAGCTTTTGAATGTTCTCCAGTTCTCCCAACGCTTCCGATGACTTTCGTCACTGCGCTTGAACCGCGGACATCCGTGTGCAATTCCGGCACATTTGTCCAACAACCCAAAATTCAGCGATCTAGGTTCCAAGGGATCTTCCGATCCAAATTGATCTGCAAACCTCATGTGTACCTAGCGCCTGTGTAGAATACAGCATTTCAAAAAATTTGTTTCAATCTGCCAAAATATCCAATGATCTGAATCTCAAAACGGAACATCTTCCGCCAGAACTGGGCTGCTTGACCAGCATTTTTGCATCCGTATGCCCTCCGGTTCTGGTTATGTTCAGAGCCGCCTTTGGCCCCTCCGATGCACGACCCTTCAAGTGTCAATTGACACCACTGAAACAACATGTAGTATCTGAGGTTTGCAGTTGCTGACATGAGACCAAAAATGGAACACTCAACAACGTTTCTGAAGTTTCAAGCCGTTTCACATGAAACCCCCGTCAGAAAAAACAAGAGAAAACATTTAAAAATCCAAGTGATTTTCTCCTATACTAAAGCCAAAGTCAATAGGTTCAACTATCAACTAGTTGACCCTATTCACTTGGATGTTCACGTTTACGCATACGAGAAACGATTTTATACACGCAGTAATATGTACAGACCGGTCTAGAAAGGTTAGACCTGTTCGGCAAGTTAGAGAGAAAGTATTGTCAGCTAGCTGAAATATCCAAACCACAGCCCCTCAGCTACTTTGGCTACCAGCTTTCCCTGATTCCTCAGAGCTAGACGAACTGGTGCTCGAAGAGGTATCCTCCGTGCTGTCATCCTCCCCTTTGGAGGCCGGCCAGCAAACGCGACAGATATGTGTGAAACTAGAATCCGGTGGTTTCTCCATGAATTCTTCTGACGTCTTAAACGTTTTCTCTCTTGCCATCCAGCAACCTCCTTTGGTCTTATGTAAACGTTTGCAACGATTGTTGACATGCACAACTACATATTCAGAATCTCTCTGAACCTTCGGTTCCTGAGTTTCCGGCTGCCCTCGAATTTCTTTCAAATCCAAGGTATCAAGTTCATCTGAAACTGTCTCAAATGGTTCTGGATTAACGCTTGCATCAAAGTAATATGCCATGGATGTTTCAAGTGAAAACAAAATGAAATCACGCTCAGCTTTCGCTATATCCGTCCTGCGCGACCTCAGCCAAGCTCCTGCAGATTCCAAAACGTCCACCTCATCCAAGATTTTCACGCGTTCCGGTTTCCTCAAAACTTTGGCAAACTTCAATTGCAAGTTGGCAACCAAACCATTGTATGATCTAATGTAGGTGTCACTGGCCTCCGGTTTCCACCTGCCAATCAGATTCCTGTCAGTGGTCTGCACGCCTAACATTGCAATACCAGTTGGAAAAGTTGCACGTTCTGAGTGTTCTGTCCAGAATGTTGCAAGATCCTCAGGGATCAGCATTTCCCAATCACTCGACCTTATCAAAGTCTTGCGCAAGAAAGTTGAGTATGCTGTCATGTCCGCATAAGTGGCATACTTCTTTCTGAAACCTTTCCAGTCCTCCGCAAACCTTGGGATCAGGTAATCCCTGTCAAAATCAGCATGTTCTTTGAGCAAATCAAAACCTGTGGTGATCCATTGTGCGCTCCAAACAAATGCATGCTCTGAAACGCAAACTGGCATCTCCTGGACTCTCTTCCCCGGCCCTGAGGTCTTCGTCACCCTGAGAAGAGTGGTCAACCTTCCACTCGTCAAGTGTAGTTCGCCAGGTTTTATTTTCTGCAAATCATCATACCGTAATCCTCCCCAAATCTTGAGAAGTTTGCACCAAGCTAAAACTCCGAGGCAAATCAACACAGAAGTATCCAAAACCATGCACTCCAGAGCTTCGATCACCACTGCAGGATATCTAGGTGCCCGACGTGGTGGCGGACTATCCCTTGACAGTTGTTCAGTGATATAATCCCTAATCTGTATGACTGCACGACTGGATGTGACTATTGAAGATTCATCCAAACCTGCAATCTTCTCGAACCAGTTGATTGCCTTGCAAATAAACCCCGGGATCGTTGGACCGCAAGGCTCATCCATTCTTGAAAAGAGATATTCACAAAACATCCCAGGATGTACAAATGATTCTTCCCCCCAGGCTGACTTCTTCCAGAGCTGCCAAGCTTTCCAAGCCTTGACATATCGTTTCAACGTTGACCCTCTCGTCTTTCCAGCCAGCGCCAAATGAATACGCTCTGAACTCACACAGAAATCCATGCCCTGTAAAACCGGTGCATTGATTGCAGCTAATTGCAGGTACAATTCCCTTGACCATTTCTCTTTCAAGTCAGTTTCCCATTTTCTCTTTGCATCTACTTGATCCTCTTGTACACGGTGTTTCACCCTCAAGGGCTTCCAAACATCTGTAGACGATCCCACAATTGAAGAAACATTTTTATGTGAAACTGTAACATGTTTGGCTTTGAAACGGTCCTCCAGTGATGCCTGTAGCGACGCAGGAAGATGATCACACCGTAGCCGCTTCTGAAAAGGCTCATCTGTATTAACCCTGCACAACCAGGACCTGACTATCTCAACATGTGTGCAATCACAGATCCATCCCAACTCATGACAAACTTGTTCTGCAATACCACGTGCATCTTCCGGTTTGTAAACAGCCAGTTTCTTACTATCCAGACCACAACGTTGGAGAACTGTCCACATTGCCTCTTCGACATTCACATCCATCTACGGGAGTGTGAGCGCTCCGGGCAAAGCCGTCCATTAACGACCTTTTTAGTCTCCAACCCTTTTGATCCACTAAACATAGTGAGATAAAGGAAAAACATATGAAACCATTCATCACGGAATTCAAGTTGAAAAGAATTCAGGTTTCAGATTTGTTTGTCCAAATAAAAACCGAGGAAAAACAAATCAAGATATAAATACGAGAAACCAAAACGGGTTCTATCTGGAAATAAAAACCGAGAATTCGAGCAACGGAATTCCAAAAAGACATGTTTGCAGAACATTCAAGTTCTCATAAGCAGGAACCCATAGAAGAATGTCCAGAACCATACAGGACCTTTCCGGAAACCGCGGGAAAAGATAAGCTCAATAAAGAGCAGTGACGCGAGGAGAGAACGCGTAGGCGCAGGGAGAGACGGCGCACAATACGGGCGCAGGCACTAACTAATACACTATCGCAACGAGTCGCGAGTGCGGACAAGGGGGCATACCATATGGATACGACCGAAGCGGCACGGTCACCCATAATTGTGCGGGCCCGGGCATACCGCACGTAGGCGATCCACGGGATCAAGTAGGAGTAGGTGGTAGGAAAGATGAAAACCTCAACGCGCCAAAGTTGTGCGCGTTGCGTTTCTCGGGCCAAAGCCATGGGAAGCCTCAGGACGACAGACCGAGAGGAGTCGTGCAGCGTGGAAGAGCTGCCATGGAATTGATAGACAGCAGGAGACAGGCAGCTGAAAGCACGGTGGGGGGAGAATCTCAAGCTGGTAGTGTGGTTGGGCCCGATGCAGGCTCGGATGGGGCACACTCAGAGCTGGAGGGATTGCAATCCATGCGTGAGTTGCGAGCTGCGTTAGCGGAACTGGAAGGCACAGAGATGCGGGACCAGAGGGAAGTGCCACAAGCCAGCGAAGCTGCTCCTGTTCACGAGATGGCAGCGTCGTCCCGAGAGGGCTTAGGTCAAAATCAAGGTGCTCAAGAACCTTGGAACCAGAAAGAGTTCCAAGACATTAGGAGATCAAGCAAAGATACGTGGAACATGACACTGCGTGATCAAGGCTGGATTGTGCGTGAACATCGAAAGCCGAGAGTGAGAGCTTTTCACCCAGTACATGCATCAACTCCAGTGGACTGCGCAGAGCTTCAAAGCAACCGGGTGACCAAGAAGGTTTGGCCTCATGGACAGCTAGTCGAAGATCAGTGGACTCAAGCAAGTCACTGGACTGGCGAGCCGTGGATGGGATATACCTTTTTCCAAATCAAGGATGATGACGACGGTAGTTTTGAACTAGTAGGGCCTTGAGCTGACTAGGATTTTCAACTCCCGTGAAAATGGGGGAGTGCAGAACCGCAAGCACAAACATGTGCAGTTTACATGGAACATTCATGCCTCAATTGTAGGCCTTTTACTATCAAGCGAATGTCAAAAGGAGCTGTAGTTCCGCAGAAAGGAATGGGTGTGGGTAAAATGATCACCCCTACAAAATTGATAATTGATAATTGAAGATGTGCAATTTTGTAATTGAGTTGGTGTGCTCACCGGACCTCCTGGAGATTTTGAATTCGAACGTAGATATAAACTGTTGGATAGTCAAACTCTATATACATGATCATGAACCAACAGTGGTTTTGAATACAGCCCAAAAGGTATTTTCAGAATCCATAAATTATAATACCACTTTGGATAATATATTGATATAGCACATGTTGTTAAATACCACTGGGTATAATCCAATTAAGAAAATTGTCTTTGACAACATGTGATTGTTTTTCCAACCGGGACCTTTTCAGGGATATTCTAACTATAGATCTTGCCAGGGGCTGACAACTCGGCTCCCCCGTAAAGGGAGCTTAGCCAAAAAACGTGACGGGATTCCAGAATCCCGTCATCACCCCCCTATGTGGGGGACGCCCCGGAAAGCGAGCGAGTGTGCTACTATAGTGTGTAAGGTGCACTCTGTGTGAAATATATGCTTTGTATGTGAATGATATCAAATATGTAGATATAATATGTATGGTGTTTACTATGAT